CGTCCGAAGCGAGGACTGTTTCCTATATAAGGGATGGGTTCCCCTCATTCTGGGTCTCCACTTTGGAAGCTTATGCTCTCTCTCTCAAGACGCATTAAAGCTTTTCTGCAGGAGGATCCTAAGTGTGCCGCGTCGTTCTTGCTGGCGAGACGGTAGCACGGGACATGCACTGAAGGTGCCTTCCAGTTGTCCCAGCCAGCTGGCCCTGAGGAACACTTCCCTAGCATCCAAAAACCACTTGCAAAAAGACATTCCGACTGAATGTTGGTACTGTATGCCCGGGAGACTCCGAAAAGGCGACACAGCTCTCCCTAGGGATGCTGGGAGAAAGGGCTCACTCTTTCTCTTCTCTAGTCTCTCTCTGGTGTCTGTGATGTTTTTCCAGTTTGCTCAGAGTCGATGCAGCTTATGAAAAATGAGCCATCATCTCAGCTTGGGCCTCCAGATGTTCCTTGCTGCCGTATAGGTGGAGTTTGTTAATGATACTCAGGTCGACAGAATACAAATTGACTCTTGGAAGTTGTGCTGATTGTCTGGGCATGTGTCTTATATAGGGTAAGCAAAATGAAAAACAGCCTTCTCTACGGCATGCCGTGTGTCACACATGGTCTTAGATCCAAGGGTCTCATGACTTAAGTCAAATACTAAAGGCATTTATGCTGAATGGGAAGGTGCTCGCAGAGATGGGTTTCCAGGGAAACCTTAGTTGGTCTGGATCTAAGAGGGATGAACCCTGAAGACTATGTGACCTTGAGATGTATTATGGCTCCTGCTTCTGCTGTGAGCCGAGACGCCCCCAGAGTGCTAAAACCCAGAGTCAAGATGTCCTAATGTATCCCAGTGTGTTCATGTGACTCTTGGAAAGCATTATAGCATAAAGAAAAGGCATGTTAGCAGAAGTGAGGGTGGCTATGGAGCTGTCCTTCAAAGAGCTGCATGAGGCCAACTGCAGGCTGACAGCTATGTGCATCCAGGCCGCAGCTCTGAAGAGGGAGAGCATTAGGAGACATGGCATCATGCCATCGGCAGCCATGTAGGAGTGAATCTTAGTTAGGGTTCATATTGCTGTGATGAAACACTATGACCAAAAGAAGAAAGGATTTATTTGGCTTGCATGGCCTAAATCCCATTCCATTAAGGGAAGCCAAGGCAAGAACTCAAATTGGGAAGGAACCTGGGGTGGGAACTGATACAGAGCTGCTTACTGGCTTACTCCTCATGACTCATTCGACTATCTTTCTTATAGAACCCAGGACCATGGGGACAGGGGTGGCCCCACCCACAATGGGCTCAACCCTCCCTGATCGATCACTACTTAAGAAAATGACCTACAGGCCTGCCTATATCCTGATCTTATGGAGGCGGTTTCTCAGTTGAGGTTTCATCCTCTCATATGGCTCTGGCTTGTGTCAAGTTGTCATAACCTTGGCCAGAACAGGGTGCCTTCAAATCCCTTAGGACAGATGGAGTTTCTGACTTTAGTAGGGACTTTCTTTGGGGGCAGGGAAATCAGGTTCCAGGCTTCCTGCCATGGCGATATTGGACTAAACCTCCGAACTGTAAGCCAGACACAATTAAATGTTTTTCTTTATAAGAGTTGCTGTGGTCACAGTGTCTCTTCACAGTAGTAGAATCCTAACTAAGACACTCATGATGTGCTGGGCAATGGTGGTGCATGCCTTTAATCCTAGCACTTAGGAGACAGAGGCAGGAGAATCTTAGTGAGTTCGAGGCCAGCCTGGTCCACCAAGCAAGTTCCAGGACAGCTAGGACTGTTACACAGAGAAATCAAAACAAGACAAAAAAATGACATGTGGTGACCCCACAAATCATAAAGGTTATTTTTGTTGCTACTTCATAATTGTAATTTTGCTACTGTTATGAATCGTAAAGTAATCCTGATCTGCGGGATATCTGATTGAGACCTTTGTGAAACCAAAGGGGTTGTGGCCCAGCACTTGAGAGCCTCTGGTCTAGATTCTCACATCCCATTTTGATGATCTTGCCAGGAATGGGGATATTATAAAAGAATACCTGGGCCCCGCTTTTGGCGGTCAGACTCCTGAAACAACAACCCCGAGAAATCGCAGTTTCTTCAGAAATCTGTCTCATGGAGGGAGAAGGAAAAGGCTGAAGCCTGGTGCCAGTCAGAGAAGGGACTTGTCTGCAGTTCCGACAGCTTGTCAGGCCACCTTGCAGGAGAGCCTGGAGCTGAGACCATGATGGGTCAATGATCACACTGAGACTAGGAATACTTAACAGGGAGTCCGTTTTGCCCTCTGTTTAAACCCAAATCTAACGACAGAACCCTAAAGATGGACTTGAGGCAGGTGGCTGGTCACTGAGCATCTTTGTTCTGCTCCCCACATGGCCACTTTGAATAGATCTTCTTTCTCCACTTTTACCTTCACTTGTCTGCACTAGTTACTTTTCTGCTACAAAATATCATGACCAAAGGCAACTTACGGAAGAGTTTGTTTGGCTTTACAGTTCCAGAGAATTAAGAGTCCATCATGGCAGGGAATGCCCCCAATGGGCAGCAGGCATTGAGACAGGAGCAGGAAGCTGAAGAATCACACCCTCAACCCTAAGCACAAAGCAGAGAGAGCAAACTGCAAGCGTGGCGAGGCTATGACCTCTGCAAGCTCACTCCGAGGGATGTGCTTTCTCTAGTAAGACTTTCCCACTTCCTCAGACCCTGTCGCAACCGGGGGCCACACGAGTCAAACACATGAGTCTGTGGGGGCCATTTCTCATTCAAACCACCACATTTAGAGAGGTTGGATGACTGAGCTTGCCTTGTTAGAACTGCCAGGGCCCAGGCTCTAACTAGTGATTCTAATGATACCGCCGATGGGCTGCAGGCTGTGATGTTTTTCCTGTCTCTTTAAGAGGGTCTGGAGATCCTTCCATGGAGACTTGAGTAGAGCGAGCAAGTGGACTGATAACTCTCAGTGTGCTGCAGTCCTAACTGGACCAGAACCAGTTCTGTAATTTCCTCAGGAAGCAAGAGAGACCACAAGGAGTCTTGCCTCTGCTCCCGGGTACTGCACTCTGTCTTGGTATTTAAATGTCCAGCTTCTCGACATTTCCTCTCACACAAAGCCTCTATCCTTGTTTGATTGGTGCCTGATCAGTAACTAGTACATGTAATTTAAAATTTTTTTCATAAATTTTTAATTTTTAAAATTTTTAATTAAAAATTTCTTAGTGTATAAGTGATGGATGTGTGTGTCTATGCAAAACCACAACTTTCACCTCAAAGGAGACATGAGACAGATTATTCTGGAACCTGTCACCTCCCAAACCACAGCTCTCATCGTAAAGGAAATGAGAGTTTATTCTGGACCCATTTGCGTGACTATGGCTTGGGAACAAAGATTTAGGTTACCCCAGATCCCATGTTCTAACATGGAAGCAGTTTCATATATTTTACAGAACAAAGACAGTCCATAAATCAAGGCAAGTTTAAAGTATGTTGGTGGATAACTAGAGAGGCAGGTAAAGTGAGATGGGGGAAACTTTGATATAGGCTCAAGATCCTAGCTGAGCTTTGGGGTTTATGGAAACTAGTTGTCTGCCATGCAAATAATTCCAAAAGGTCTTTATCTCTTAGCCACAGGATGTTAGTTAGGCACAGATGTGGACAGGGAATGGCTGTTCTAAGGGCTAGAACTAGTTCAAGATTAGGTAACCAGCCTCTGGGCTTGCAGCATTCTGTCCTGGCCACAGAATGGCAGTTCTAATCTTTTCGGGAGTTTCATTCCACAAGTCGAATGTGAGTGATTGTTGCCTTGAATACAGATTTATATTAAACCAAGTTCCACGCTCCAAAGTACAACACTTTGATGACGTTCATATAGTAATAGGACAAAGGAAGTCACACCCTTTTCGAGTGCATTTATGGAAACATGAAGTAGGTGTATTGAAGTCAAGCTGAGCAACCAGGCCTCGGATGTTATAGTATTCTTCGTCTGAGTTAGTGCAGTTGAGAAGGTTTCAGTGTGTTAGTCACAGTGTATTAGGTCCAACCTCTGGAGATAGAGGCGGGCAAGGAACAGCTCTTTTGGGGGTAAGGATAGCCCAAGAGAAATGGCTATTAGCTCCGGAACAGCAGCCTCTCAATCGCTCCATCATCACTGAGGTTCTCATAAGCAATCAGCATTGTGAAGGTTTGGTTGAAAACACAGTTTCTCTCCGGGAACTTTGATTCACAACAACCGTGTGTGAAGATGCTTGTGTGCGTGTATTTGTGTGTATGTGATGAGACCAGAGGTTAGTATCTTTAATCACTTCTCTTCTCACCTTTTTTTTTTTTTTCATTTTTGAGACAGTCCCTCACTGAACTTGGAGCTCACGAATTCATCCAGACCAGTGATCTCGCCCTGTGCACTCCCAGCACTAGGATCTCGCTAGGCTTTTTATGTAGGTGGGGGGCGGGATCTGAGCTCCGGTCCTCATGTTTGCACAGCAAGCGCTGCCCAAGTCATATCTCTAGCCTGAGATCCCTCTTTGCACTTCAGCCAGCACAGAGGTCACAGCTTTCATCCGGGGCCCTGGCAAGGTCACTTGGTGTGTATGATATTTATTTTCTGCCTTTATTCCTGTTAGCCCACTGCATAGCTGGTTTAGGAAAGACACATAGGCAAGATGGAGATATTTGGTCCTCCTTAGAAATAGAAAGGCCTGGAAGATTGGCAGTGGGATTGACTGCTTAATATGCTTGGCACAGTTGTTACCTGAGTCCCAGATAGAGCAGTTCATGATATGGGCTGGGAACACCCAGGTTGGCAGTGGCAAGGGATGCTGGGATGTCGGTCCTCACTTTCCACCTTATTTGAGTCAGTATCTCTGTTGTTCATGCTGCATACTAGGCTAGCTGGCCCCCCAGCTTCTGGCTGTTTTCCTGACTCTGCTTTCCATCTCACTGGAGAAGTGCTGGAATTATAGCTAAATGTGAAACCTAGATTTATATAGATTCTGGGGATTTGAACTCAGGCTATCACGTTTGCATGGCAAGAACTTTGCCCACAGAACCATCTTTCTAGTTCCTCCTGCCGCGGCTTTTCTCACAAGAAAAGGGCCAGAAGCCAAGGACTTTGCTAGTCTTTGAGAGAACAGCCAGGAGGAGAGAATTTTTGACAACTGAATAGGAACCAGATAGAAGCTATTGTCAAAAGGCTTCCTTCCTTCCTAGGAGCCGGGCTTTACTCAGTACTCATGAGGACACCCTGGCCTGGTAAGAGATTCATAGAAACCTCAGTGTTTTCCTGGACTTCTGCCTTGTGGAATTTCTCGTTAATTTGTTCTCTCATCCTTTCATGTTTGCATGAAGTCTCATTCATGGGGTAGTTTGGAGGAGGCTGAGATCCTCGGGGATGGACCAGAGGTGCTGCTATCAGAATGTGAGGTTGTGGAGCTGCCCGGAGGAGTGTATGAAACCCAGAAACGCTTCTGATTTGTTTGGAGCAAAGCTGTGCTTAGAAAAGGTATGGGTTAGGAAGCAGAAGGGGGACTGGGGCTTCTCTTCCCTGGGACTCCCTCTGTCCCTGTTTTATCTGGCAAACCCTTCACGTCTCAGCTCGTTTCCAGCTGAAGACAAAGCGTCGTGCCTGGCTGCATGTGCTTTTTACCACAATTTATATTAAGTATTTCCTGTGGGATGATGCATTTGTCATCTGCGATCCACATGCACTTAGCGCAAAGGCTTGCACACGACCCAACCACTGCTTCGTGAGCAGCTGCGCCGGCCTCTGGGAGAATGAAGGTTCCGACTGCGTGAGCAGGAGCTGCATGCAGGACAGGAGTCCCCATTTCCACTCCGGGGCTTGCCACGAAGAGCAGCAAGATCATTTCTCGTCTGCTCTGAGAAGCAGAACAAAAATTGTAGTAAGCCTTCTCCAAGCTTCCTTTTAGCTCAGAACGTGTGGAGGGCCATTTGCAGGAGTCTGAATGGCAGTGACTGAGCTGTGCTTCCTTCTCTCCTCCCTTGGTTTCCCCCACTTCCACCACTGCAAGACCCACAGACTCCTCTGGATGGGTCTCCGCTGTAGATGGGAAGCTTTCTGTGAAGATCTGTTGGCCTCTGCACTGTGTTCTAATGATCTGACCTTAGGCTCCCAGGTAGCTTCCCAAGGTACAGCAGCCTCCAGCTGCCAGTTCCTCATTCCGAGAGAGGCCAATCTGTGGGGTCACCTAAAGACCAGAGCTGCTTCGTCACAGGCCCCGCTTGCCCCAGATAGGGCTCGAGGGTCTGCAGCTGTTCCGGGAGATTAATTATGCAGTGCCGGAGGGCAGAAGGAGCCGTCTTTCTTGATCACACATTGCGCCCATGACAAATGGCTGGGCTTCCTGAAAGCAGAACTGAGACTTTCCACTGACAGTTGTGCTAGAGGAAGCCCAAGCCAGATTCTGTAGATCGTTCATGATTTGTCAGTGTGGGATGCTCTGCCTCCTTGCTGAGGGTGGATTTCCCTCCCTCCCCTGTGGTCTTGGCAGAAGGCTGCAGCAAGGAGATGGCCAAAGAAGCTTGTGAGGGTTTCTCACTGTTGTTGTGTGAATGTGACATGTTTCTGTGAGCTTGTGTGCTCAAACACTTCGTCACTAGCTGGTGGTGCTGGATGGGAGAGTTGCAAAACCTCCAGGAAGTGGAATCTTGATAGCTGGAAGTAGGCCTCTGAGTGTGGGCCTTCAGGTTTTATAATCTCCCTCCTAAGTGTGGCTGCAGAGTGACCAGCTGCCTTCTGCTCCAGCTGCCATGCCTTCTCTGACATTATGGAATATGTCTCCTTGAACTGTGCACCAAAACAAGCCCTTTCTCCCCTAAGTTGCCTTGGTATGGTGTTTTGTTACAACAATGAGGAGAGCAGCCAGTACGCTCACCATTGTGCTGGCCACACGCAGTCTAGGAACACGTATATTTGTGTGCAGACTCACAGAGTCCAACCAGAAATATCACTGCCTCCATAGACGTAACATGGCCTGAAGAAAATTGCTTTGGTGCTTATACAAAGAGATGGCCAGTATGCAACACACACACACACACACACATACACACACACACACACGCACACACACACACACAGTACTGACTGGTTTGGGTACACAACAGACCCTCGATGGGTCATTCCATCACCTGGGCATCTTCAAGGAGGGATCACCATGAAATATTCCAGGAATATTCCAGTATTTCCCAGCAGCCATAGGGACATCACTGAAGGTCCAGGGCTTGCACCTAGGAGGATCACAGCCTTATTTGATTGGTCCCAGCCAAATCCTATTCTCCAGCAGGGTCCACCACACACTCCTTGCTTTGCATTAAGCCCTTTCTCCCCAGAGGACCGAGCTCTGAGTGGCATTGTCCAGCATAGTCTTGTCTCCAAGGGTCCTCTGCTGGGGAGAAGAGGAAACAGGCATTTGCCTTGCTCTGAGCTGGAGACACATGTCATCCCAGAGGGCTTGTTCTCTACATTGAAGTGAGTTGGAATAGTTTCTTAGTTACTTTTCTCATTGATGCAGCAAAGTATCTAGTAAACGTCATTTGAGGGAGGGATGTTTATGTGGCTCACAGTTCGAGGGGACAGCCTATCATGCTGGAAGGGCATGGCAGCAGAACGGGGAGGCAGTGGGTGGGTCCCATGGCATCTGCAGCCCAGAGGCAGAGAGATGAGCGCTGCTGCCCTGCTCATACTTTCCTGTTGATTCCCTTCAGGACCCCAGCCCATGGCATTGTGATGCCCACAGCTAAGACATGCTCAGAGGTCTGTCTCCTGCATGTTTCCCGATTCTGTAAAGTTGACAAGATTAACCATCATAGGTGGGATCGGCAGTAGCTTTGCCACATGGCACTGGCTTTACTCTGAGCCTAGGAAGTGACTCTGAAGGATAATGACTGCTCTTTACAAGTTTGGAACCCACAAGGGTTCTGGGCTTCTTGCTCGTCTCTGTCCCTCTCTCTTCAGGTGTGTGATGACCTCTTCTACTCTCACTGTGGACTGGACCTTCCTTAGACTTGGTGCCATGTTGGCCCAGGGTCATGCATAGTTCTCACCAACAGGCTTGGGGAGCTGCAGGGGAGCGGGCTTTGTGTAAATACTGGTTTCAGGCATTTTTCTCAAGGCGCCTCTGTCTTCCGGGGTCCTGATAAGCAATGGTCTTAGGTGCTCTTCCTCCCTGCCACCTCACGTTGACTTTGCTGACTCACGACTGCCAATCAACTCCTAGCACATGACAAGTGTCAAATACTGCTTTACAGCTTATGACGCTTTTGCAAATCCTGTCACAAGATTCCACAAAGGTGCTATGGGACCCCTTGAGAGAAAGAAGGAGGCATGTGGGGGTGTGTATGTCAAAGGTTAACCTTAGGTGTTGTTCCTCAGCTACCATCTACATTTTTATTTTGACAGGTCTCTCATTGGCCTGGATCCCTCTAGAACTGCAGGCCCAATAAACTCCTTCTTTCTTAAATTGCTTTTTGTCACAGCAGTAGAAATAAAGCTAGGACACATGGTAAAACAATTATTGATTTTGTCTTAATATGATTTACACATGTAATTTAATTCTTCGCCATGGTCGCATGGAACAACTAACTCGTATGTTCCTGGAAATTTAGCAGTCAGCTCTTTTGAGGCAAGTGTGAGCCAGCTAACACACTGGCCACTGGGTTTAGGATGAGGTAGTTTAGTTTGTTGTCATGGCTGATCTTGTCTTTAGTCTTTGGGAAGTGCCAGACTGTCACGTGTCTTCCCCGATGTCTTCTAGCCCTTGGTACTGTGAAAAGCAGAGCCTCGGAGTTCAGCTATAGAGCTGCCAGAAGCCGGCTTCCTTAGAGAGCTGTTACCCCTACCCTATCCCGTCTACCAGGAGGCATTTATCTAAGACACAGCTGCTGCTCTCCCTGAGCCTCTGTCTGTGGCCTGAGGGGTGTGAACTCCTCGGGACCACCTCCTAGAGCTGTCAGATGGGAACCATGCAGGTCTGGCATGAGGCCAAGCCTTGTAGAGTCAACGTGGGAAGCCTAGTCTGGTGAGGGGACCCTTGTGAACACAAAAGGAGGAACCCATTTATGTGGCTATGGGGAAGCCATCATCCATGCTGGATGGAGATTGTCCAGTAAGGCTGCCTACTGTAAAGGTCATGGAGTCTCTTGACTTGACTCCATGATCTTTGCAAATAAGAGATCAGCGGGTCACATGCTAAGTCAAGAACTCAAGGAAAGGAGCTAAAGGCAGGCCCGTGGAATCTGAAAACATGGCCGTGTGCTACCCATTGTACAAAGGCTTTCTCTTGGAAGACTCAAAATATGTCTACTTCCTCCTTACAAGGCCTCAGCAACAAATCAAAATATGAATTTACCAAAAACCAACTTGGGGAATCAATGAGTTTATTGGGCTGACTTATGGACCATGGATGAGAACTTGCAGGAGTAAGCAGCCATACTGGAAAATCTCCATCCAGCATGAACGATGGCTTCCCCATAACCACATCAATAGAGTTCCTCTTTCAGTTAACCTTCCCCAGCCTCTATACTTCAGTACCTCCTGAGATACACATGAAATTGGGGTGGAATCACATACAAATGTCTGTGAGATACAGGAAGGGGCAGTTAATGGCTGCTCCACCTTCTACCAGGGAATATCAGCAGCCAAGACGCTTAACTGGAGGGGTTTCTTGCAAGTGTTCTGATAAGGTGGTGGCTGGTTTGCCAGAACACCTCTGATGTCCTCAGTGTTCCCCTCCATCTCTTTCCAGTCTCTGCTCACTTGGTGCCATCAGTAACACTGACCACTGCTAAAGTATGTCTGCTCCACCTGGTCCTGTGCTGTTCCTCTCCATACACCCCATTTTGTAGTGCTAGGCTGTCTTTCTTAGGTTTGTCAGTCCCCTGAAACACATGGACTTGGTTTGCCTATGAAAGATGCAGGCACCATAAACTGAACAAAGGAATGGCTACAATCTGGAGGTGTAGCGTACATTACAAATACGTTTCTCACAGCTATGGGACGTTGGGTCACCTCTTTAACCTTGGTGTGACTGGGTTTCCCCGTTTGCAAAATAGGGGAACAACAGAGCCCAAGTCCCAGTTTGTTGGGGAGCTAAGAGAAGGGGTCAGGGAGATGGATGACTCAGAGGGCAAAGGGCTAACTGTGAAAAGCTGATGACTGGAGCTCCTCAGCCACACACAGTGTGGACATCCCAGCACCCCTGTGGTGAGACGAGAGGTAGAGACAGGAGAATCAATGAGAAGCCTATAGGTCAACTAGTCTGGGACACACGGAACAGCAGGCACAAGAGTGGCCCTGCCTCAGATTTATAAAATAAATAAATAAATAGATGGATTGGTTTCCCATCTGCCCTATCCCATACATATACATCCTCCTACCACCATCCCCACTGGGAACAATGTTTTTTACTGGCTTGGTAAAAACTGAAAGTCATTCTTATATAATGCCAGCGATGCTGCATTATTCTAAGGGGAACTGTGGAAGTT